GGATGTAGTTTTGTCAGAAAGACGATTGTGAAATCGCTCAACTTATGAAAACACTTCTGAGTCTTTGTCCACAGGTTGGAATGGATGCTGTGCAGGAAAAGGAAATCTCTCAGTCACATCCTCATAGGATATCCAAGTCTTCAAAGCAGTTGCCTTTTTGCCTTTTCCACTGAACTGTGATGTTGTGTCAGAACCAGTGAATGCATGGAAAAAGGGAAGCACCACTCATCTTCGACAGCCAAGATTTTGGAATATTCTGTTTATGTGATAACATCTGGCATTTATCCCGTTTCCTAATGACACCCACAGCTGAACAGCAGACTTTAGTTCAACCAGTTTGGACAACAACATTTGTAGGCCTACAGTGCTAAACCATGATGTTTGTAGCACCTTTTTGCAAAGCATCTTTGACATGAAGGCAGATTCTGATATCCGCCTCTTCCCTGATCAGTGCACTGCATATCCTCTTCACTTCCTACTGTAACCACTGACTCCACATCTGTTAACACAACCTTTCATGGTTTGTAAGAGCTGCTAGCCATCATCTGCTATGAATGCAAATAGTTCTTCTTTGTCCTTTGATTCTTTTAGAAAAAGCTGCAAAGATCATTGGTAGTCTAGTATGACGGAAACTTTTTCTTCTACTGCGTTTCTTCGCTTTTCTCGTGTTGTCTCGAGCAGAGTCATAACCAGGTGATGCAAGACAATCTAAGAGCTCTGATTTGCAGTTTGGTAAATGAAGTTTTCCATGAATTGATATTATGATGGTGGCCACGGTGGTTTTCATGAGAAAAGAATCGGTTTAAATTAGGTTGACGCATTCTGGCAATCAATGAACATCTGACTGAAGAGACTGTAGCCATTTTTCAGGTCATTCGTTTGCTGTATGATTTAGACTGAGGGTTTGTTTATGGTGGCTTGAAAAAGGTGATTTTTCTTAATGGGGTTGTGAATTGACTCTGTCCTTACAAACTTCTCATATTTGTATTTTCCTGTCTTCTCCATTGATTTCATAGATGCTACGACAGCTTCACCCAACACATTGATGATCATCAAGGGTCATCAGTTCCGAGACTCTTCCATGAAGGGATTTCCCATCGAAGCAACTGTGCCACATAAGTGGTTGACTTGAGTCTTAAATGCCTGCGGTGTAGCAAAATCTTGTTCATTGCTTCTAGTATCCACCTTGTCATCTTGCTTCTCAAACTCTTTGCAGAATTATTACTTGTTCTGGTCCAAATATCATCCATCTAGTTAAGGCAACATTTTCTGTTAATGCAACTGCACCACCTGAGTGTTTTACAACTTTGCTGTTTTGCTCATGAGCTTGATCCAAATGCATGGCAGCAATGTGTTTGATGTTTGGGGAAACCAAACCTCTGTGAATGGACTCTCTTCTGTCAATAGGAAGGCTTTCATATCTCTGATGTAAACTGACAGCCTGCGTGCATAGTTGGTGTGATCAAGAGCAAAGAACCAAGGACAAGTTGTTCCATTACCTGGATGTACAGAGACATGTTCTTTCACGATGGGACCTCACACAGATTGGTATCGTTGTCTCGAGATGAAGAATCAAATCTCAGTATTTGAATGTTGAATGGGACATGAGACGCTGAAATGAAAGATTCAGCTGTTCCACTTGGGCAATACCCGCTTCGTTGGTGCTGAAGTCCATCCAGAATCTTCAAACAAGTCTCCAATCATTTTCCATAAGGCTATTTCAATGTGAAGACCTCCAAGCTTGATAGGGTACACAACTTCACCAAACACATTAGCCATTCCATTGAACATATTTTGCTAGCGCCAAATGTGGTTGGGCTATATCCATGACTGGGAGTTGTCCTGATTGCAATGTTCTGTGACTGTCTTGATAATAGACATACCATGCCTAACCGTGGCAAGATTGCGGCTTTGTCCTTAAAGAAGAGGAAGAAGAGAACTTATTCCTGCTGCAACCTGTTCCTGGATTGACGAGAAGCATGAAATGCACCAGGCAACTCAACCTTTTCCAAATGTTCTTCAGCAAGAAGTCCAATGCAGTGCTTGATCCAAGATTCTTCTTAGCTTTGGTGATCTTGTTCGACTTGATGATGAGTTATAGGCACATTAACTCTCTCCACATTGCAGGCTACTGCAGGAACTATACAACTGCCTGGAAGTGTAGGTTTGGAAAGAGCTTGAAATAGTGTCTATAGAAATAGGTTTCGCTGGTACCATTATCAACAACATTATCAAATGTGGCTGCAAGTCTCAACCTCTATGCTCAAAGAAGTGCATTTGTAAATCTTCTCAACTTCTGTGCACATCGCTCTGTAACTTCAATGGGAACTGTTAAAGGAGACTTCAGAATCACAGAGATCGATGTTTGACAAATTGGTGTCACGTGACTGATCAAAACAGTAACTTTTTTCATTACTCGGATGATGAATTATATATTACTACTACACATAAATCTTGTTTGTTATATTTATTGAAAGTATTAGAATAGCCCTTTGAACGGCGAATATATCTCACATATTGCAACAAATGAATATTTTTTAATAGTCGGCGACCATTCTTTGATTTTTGGCGGCCATCTTGGATTTTGGGGAAAATAGGCCCAAACATTCGAGCACACCCCAAAAATATGCTTTATCACGATGAGCACTATGCAAAGTTTCATGCTTTAGGCCGCCAAGTATCTATTTTCACCCTAAGCCACTGCACTATAAGATTGGTTAGTGGAATGGGTGTAACTTTTAGCTAAGACGATTGTAAAATTGGCGTAACTTGCTAAGATTGATCTTAGATAAGATCGGTTAGTGGAACGGCACCCTGGCCTTTGTGCAGATACACGAATGTAACACCATGTGTTGCAACAGATCTTTTGTGAGAGTACAACATTGTTTTACTTTCAATGACAGCGGTTTCTCCGGGTCTCTCCAGTTGGACAAGTCACTTGGTAAGTCAAGGACAATCCTTGGTTGCCATTTGGAATACACTCCAGACACTTTTCAATCATCTAGTGTCTTCTGTGTTCTGTACAAACGTAAATGGTGATCAATCATATACCGACACTGTTCTTTGAGAACCAAGCACGGTTTTTGTTGGGGAACCATTGATCAGACTGACTGACTGACTGAGTTTGGTTTTACGCCGCTTTTAGCAATCCTCCAGCAATATCACGGCGGGGGACACCAGAAATGGGCTGCACTCATTGTACCCATGTGGGGATTCGAACCCGGGTCTTCGGCGTGACGAGCCAACGCTTTAACCACTAGACTACCCCACCGCCCCCATTGATCAGAAGAATGATAAAATATTTTGATATTTTCAATAGCATAAATTCTCACATTATATAGAGTACATATACTTTTTTCGCTTGTATAAGTTCTGCTGGATCACTGGATGATAGCAATCGTCATCTAAACCATAATACATAACATAATTAGCGCGAGAGGTGCCAATTTAATGTGCTATCCTGACTCAGAAAAAAATTCTTCAAATCTTAACTAAGGCGTTTTCCAGCCTTTCGCATGCACAAAAACCAAGGGAGGAAAGATACAGGGATAAAAGTATCACAACACCTCAGTTTTTACCCCCTATAGCCATTTATAATCATACCTTATACCACTAGGGTGTGTTATGTCCATTGTTCCGGCAGGTTGATTTTCTGCGTATCAACCTTCTGTCTGCACGTGCAGAGGTTTATATGTGGATAACGACCTGGGCGGTGCAGGAAACGCACGAGCAACAAGCAATGTACGAGTCCATTCGGCGCCCACGTGGTATAAGCAGGTTAGCACCCGCCCTCTGCGGGTGATATGGATTCAACGCTCTCGCCTGACGGCTCGAGCGTTGAAATCCATATCACCCTTGAGGAGGGTGCTAACGTATACATAACGTTTGTTTGTATGATAATTTTACCCATTGGGTGCACCATACATCGATTATGTACTCACACGCATAAGAAACGCAGGGTTTTTAATCCAAATTGGAAACAAACTCGGAGCGCTAAATTGAAATACGTTTTTGGCATATAGCGAAGCCTGGTGGTGTTTCCAATAAGTTTTGTGGCCCGAGTAAGAACAGATCAAGAGAAGGAATCACCAACAACACGCACCATACCAATGAACATGCGGGTATCATGCACACATTTCTCGTGAAATCGAACATGCACGAATTCATTGTCACCACCATATAAAGTGGGTATACGAATGTGCACAAAGACTGGGCCTATCACTCCTTGTTCAACAATGCCACGCCTAACTCAAATTGAGAGAAACCTGGCTATCGGATGGTTGGAAGCTGCGGAGTCTGCCCAAGATGTTGCCCCGACATTTCAACGTAAACATAACCAGATTTACCTATTGTATCTTCGATACAACGCAAAAGATCATTCATGCAAAGTAGTGTTGAAAACAACCATCCGTTGTTATTCCAAGAGCACAAAGCAGCATGACTAGTTTGTGTCAGTCTCGATGTCACTAGAATTTGAGGTCATTTGGGAAGGTCAGATTTCTTTTCTTCATCATTGATGGCAGAACTTTTATCAAATGAAGTGAGCATATGCACAAAAGAATATCTTGCAGCAAGTACCGTTTGGCAAGGGTTCATAAATGGTATGGGGGAGCCTCTCTCATGACTGTACACTTCACCATGTGAGGATCAGACAAACTTTGAATAGACAAAGGTGCATCAGACATCCTAGACGGGCATCCTAGACGGGGTTGTACATTTCAATGACCATCCTCGGAACATAAGGCTTCTCTTCATGGACAGGAGCGCAAGGACACATTGACATGTTGTCGAATGAAAGATGATAGAGCCTTCATCTACAAATACCTAAACAAAACGTTATTCAGCTTCTCATTGATAATGATCACACACAAAATACTACTGTTGCACCCTTCTCACTACCATCAGCAGATGACACTACCAAGCAATGCCCACCTCATGTTGACCTGAACACGTGTTTTAAGACATGCAGTTCTAAGAGTGCATAAAGACACTGAACAAAAGAAATTTCATGATTTTATTCATTCATATATTATTGTATGCAAAGCAGAAGCAGCTTTTGGTAGTAACATTATGTTGATGCGATATCAGTTACATGCAAACTGATGATCTTGATTATACATGTATTTGTACTCTGGGACCTTCCCTGAAAAAGTTAGTAGCACCAGAATTTGTGAACTAACTATTCACTTTAACTCTGCATAACATTAAGAGATCAAAGCCAAACGTAGTCATGAATGATATTTACACAATAACCATGTCGACTTAGACTGTTGCATGATATGAATGTATTTGTATGTACATAGGAGTACACATCCATTTACACCACACATTTTAACCATAGTAAGAGCCAAAATATGTCAATAAATAGTACCATAAAGTATTTGTACAAAATGTTGGCATGCATGAGCATGATTCTTACAATGTCTGGTTCCTAGCTTTCCTTCACATGCACTTTTGTTTCATATTTTTCCATCCCATCAAGGTCATGGCATCTGTTAAAAATCCATTAAAAAAATTCCTAAAACATAAGCTTATATGAAGAAGACTGTCAGTCAGAAAACAAATAAAAGCTGTGAAGAGAGTGCACAACATTTTGATGGTTCTTTTTCCTCCTACACAAAGTCATTAGACTACCTCAAGCAAGTAACACTGGAAATACCATACAAGTTAAACATATTTGTTTTTTGTTAAGACTATTATGTCAACACATTGTTTTTGATGATCAAACAGGACGAGTTAGTGAGTTTGGTTTTACGCCGCTTTTAGCAATACTCCAGCAATATCACGGCATGGGACGCCAGAAATGGGCTTCACACATTGAACCCATGTGGGGAATTGAACTCGGGTCTTTGGCGTGACGAGCGGACACTTTAACCACAAGGCTACCCCACTGCCCCCAAAACTGGATGAAGGCCCAAACAGTGACTTGATCAAACTGTTCATTACCGAAATTATTTACCTCAGTTTAACACAGTGGTACACCTACCATAATATTATGTCATAATTTTAACCACATGAAGTGAATACTGCAACTAAAATATCGTGATAATAATATATCATTTATGGTAAAATATTAGTTTCGGGTACCATTTTCCCTGACCACTGCTTCATAATTCTATGTAACTGGATATTTTTTTTACAGAATCATAGATCTGTGAGAAAATGTGTGCACAGCTATTTCCAGATACGTTTACAAGAGAAAGAACACAAAGTAATCTTAATTCATGAACAAACTTTGTTATCTCCCCTTTGCCCACCCACAGCAATGTGATATAGTTTTTCCCTCTTCATGCTAACAAATATGTTCATGAAAATTTTCATTTTTCAATTACAGCCTTGACTGAAGAAACTGAACCAAGACATTTGGTTGGCTCTAAAGTTGACATGGTTTCATGACCCTTCAGGCAGAAGACAAGTCATAGGCAAACCAGTGCCTATAATGATTCAGTGAATCAAGTCAGATAATCTCATATTCTGCATCAACATTAGGATTATACAGCCAACATGCACATCACATAAAACATTATGTTCTTTCATACCTTTGATTATCAGTTTATGCAACGTAAACTAAAGACCTTAAACTTAAGATCAGTATCCTCTCTGATACGCAGTGTCTCAACTTTCCTTGTTGGACAATTATGATCAGATAGATGTGTCATTAACAGAGACTAATTGAAGGCACATTTCACAATCAGAAACAATACTACTGCTTGACTGTAACTTGGAGGGAATTGAATTGGATTAACTTACTTGTTAAGCCATGTATGATTCTACAAACTTACTAGTACTGTTATGCTGATGAAGGGCAACAACGTGTAACAAAAGCTCACACAAACATTCCTTCCCAGTAAGTCCAAATTGAGCAAAGCTCTATTCAAGAGAAACTTCATACTAAACATTTCAATCTCTCTCCGGAGTAACATCTATATTAACTTTCCTAATATAGCTAGATATTTGTTTTACATTAAATATAGTTTTAGTTCATGATTGGGACATAGGGAAATGGCTCGAAAAACTTGACCCATGTATGAAGCTACCAACCCCTAAGATTGCAGCAACAACAGTAGGCTTCTCCTGTCAGTATGACAACAATAAATGTTACTGTTGCCATGGCTACTGAGACATTTATTTATTTCATAAATTGCATGCTCGCAACTGCGAAGTTACACCTAATCCATCATGGCATGTGAAGAATATTTTGACTGAGGAAAATCCTGTTAAACTAATTACACATGACAGGAAAAGTATTTTGGAGATTGTCTGAAGGAAAACTGTACGTTAAATTGACAAAAATGAGATAATACATCCAGATTTACCTATTACTGATCTAAAAAACAAATCCAATTGAAAGATATACATTAACAACTCAGTTGTAGGGAAGAAATGTATTATTAGACATATGCAGTGTTCCTTCAGACAGACTTCCTATCCTTTTGACAAACTATTCAGATGCTAATACTTTTGCCAAAAAAGGGAATGCACTTGTCCCTAATATCAAATGCAAATTTTTCAAAAGTGGTCTATTCTTTTTTTCATATTTTGCCCATACCAAAAATAGGGAGACTGGTAGTGCACCACAAAAAATAGAGGCAAAACTTTTCAATAACACATGCTATTTCCCAGCTCTGAAAGGCCTTTAAAAGACTGCTTAAAAGCATACAATACATACATTTTGGATGGATTCCCTAATCATATCTTTGGTTTCTGACCAGTGGTGTTGGCAAAAAATCTTTCTGCAATGGAAGACAATACTTATAGCTGAATGGTGTATATTTAACACAGCTACAAGGAAGAAGCCTGTGAAATGACAACCTTCAGATTATGAGCTGCCTTTGACACTTCAACTACACGATCAACCATTTCCTGTACTGCAGGCACTGAAGGATACTGAAGGGCAGCTAGCTTTGTAGCACTAACAGATTGTTTTAAACAGTCACACAGTTGATTAGCACATTTCATAATTTTGTTTTTCACGATGGTATGCATGATATTTCGATGCAGTGTGTCACCAATGTAAACAAGTTTATGAGCGGACACTATCACAAATTTGCTGTGGGAAATAAATACTTTGGGAGGTTCATTGCTTTCAACACAGCAAAAAAAGGCATCTAAGGCATTTGTTAGAAGGGTGGAATGCGTTTCCATCTGTCCAGAATAGAAGACTAACACTTGTTTGTCATTTGGATCCAGTTGCTCAGTTTCCATCTTGACTGCTTCTTCCTTATCTAACAGAAACATGTCACTGTCTGTGTTTGCATTCACAGGGGTTTTAACATCCTGTTCAAGTAAATTGTCAATGTCAAATGAAGCATTATCAATGATATCTTGCTTTGAGTTGTCAAGTTCCTCCAAATCAGCTTCAAGTTTCAATTCATATGGATCCTCACTGCTATCTTTGCTATGTTCATGTTCTGATTCAGAAGGTGATCCATCCTTCTCAAAACTCTGAACCCTTTCTTCCTTTGCTTTCAATTGAGCAGCAATGTCTCTTGATTCTAAGTGAACATAGTCATACTCTCTGACCCATTCACTTGAGTCATTGGCATAAATGTCCTCTTTCTCAGCATCTTCATTTACATAGTTATCTCCCTTTTCCTGAAATCTCAGGCGTAGAGAGTTCATTTGATCTTCCAGTGGTGTTGGTGGAAGGGGGTCTTTCCGATGTAGGTGGGGGCGGCAATGGTCGTTGTTGAACCATCTTAGCCCTTTGTTTACTTCCTGCTTCTGACTTTGGTCCAATTGGAGGTTTGGCAGCAGCTGAGTCATCAGATGAGATAGACACCTCTGAGGACCTATTAAGATCTTGAGTTCTTGGGAACAATAATGTTGACTTGCCTTGAATTAGAGAAGCAAGTTTTCTTGCATTGCTACTTAAATCTTTGCATAAAGTTGCAATTTGTCCTAAATCATCAGATTTAGATGAATCCAAAGGCTCAGCTAAAATGTCAGTCTGCCACTTCACTTCATCCAGATTCTTCAGTGCACCTGAAATGAGCTGAAAACTATTTTGCAGAGGATTGAGTTGCTTGTACAGTTTGTTCACCAACTTCCTGTCAGGTAGTTTACTGGCATTTGCTAATGTACCTTGTGAAAACTTTATATATTCTGCAAGAGAGTTCTTCACCCCCGTTACAGCAATTTTTATTTCATACAGTTTAGTTTGTAAACTCTCCTTCTTTCGCCATGTGCTGCTTACAAATCCTAAAAACTTGCTGGTAGTTTTCTGTATATCCTGCTGTAACCTTGTCAAGAATTCTAGAGCTGCATCCATTTCAAGTGGCAATTCATCATAAGTAGGTATCTCAGTAAAAGACCCTCTTGAGTCAATGCTACAAGTGGACAATCTCTGACCTTCTTCTGAAGAATCAGAGCGAGCTGAAATAACTGAATCCCTGGTAACTTGTGGTGGAATATCATAAACACAAACTGGTTCATTTGGTGCCACTGGTGAATCCATGGATGAAATAAATGAGACCTTCCCACCACACGTTTTCATTTGAACTCGAGGGGCATTGTTTCTAGGAACATCATAAACATCATCAATGGCATGTTCCTTGCTCTTACTATTCTCTGTATGGTGTTGATTTGATGAAGGTACCTTAGGTAACCCAAAGTCTATTTTCTTCCCTTTGGGAAAATCATAATCTTCAATAAGAGAAGCTGGTGAAGCTAGTTTGGCTTTTGGCGGTGTGTCATAAACATCCAGGCCTGAATCAGTAGACAACTGCTTTGTACAATGTGTGGATCTTGGTGGAGTGTCATAGAGCTCCTGAGAAGAAACATCCAAACTTGAGCGAGCAGAGTCACATATGCTAGGAGCAGTGGAAGATCTGTGTGAGCTTACATTTGATGTACTGCTAGCAGCTGTAAGTGAGGAATCATTAGATGCATTTGAAAGGATGCTTGAGCGGTTAGAATGATCGTCACTACTGGTCTTAATAAGTAATTGTGGTACATCATACATGTTGTCTTCACTGCCAGCTACTTGATGCACTGACTGAGGAGTATCATAGAATGATGATTCAAGATTGTTGTGCTGCATATTTTGAATACTATCACTTGACAGCCGCTTTAATGATGTTGTGTTTGTGGTTTTTAGCTGCAAGTCAGTCATCATAGGCTGTTCCTTTGGGAAGTATCTTGAAGGTGGTACGTCATAATCTTGAAGGCTTCGGTTAGGTTCATCATACAAACCCGAGGATGATTTCTCTGTACTGCCGACAGGCTGAAATTGCAACCAAAAAAGTCTGAATCAAAGTATTTCTATTGGTGAAAATGTCACTATCATGAGTAACGCTTTTAACATGTGATACAAAGTCATCAAAATTTGAGAGCTCTCTGTAAATCACCAGTACTTGGGAGTGACTGAAAAGCAAATCATGCCAGATGATATACGTCATATGAATAATTTGAAAAAAGGATTACAATATAATTTGTATATGATAGTTACACATTTTTTCCAATTTACTATACTAAGCAGCAAAAGAAACGTCAGTTTGGAATTTTCCCTCGTAGAAATGGATAACTGTAAACTCATTTAATGTTTTGATTGTATACTTTTTACAAGATCTCCAACTTTACCTGAGCAAAGACATCCCTTCCCAAACTCAGAATGGAACCCAGGAAATGATCTCAAAAACGCAACCTGATCTCGTAGATGGTACAGTGTTCTCCATGTTTTTCATGCAACTCATGCTGCACGTGCTGTTCACAAGGACCAGCCCTATAAAATGCACCCCCAAACCTGGTTGAAACATTCACATTACGTCAGCAGGATGCCGCGACTCACGACAGCTCAGAGGAACCAGGCGCTACGAAGATGTGAAGCTGGCCACACTGCACAAGCCGTTGCCAATCACTTCCAGGTCAACCTTCGGACCATCTACAGGCTGCAGCAACGTTTCCGGGCCACCAACACCACAAATGATCGCCCTTGTACTGGCAGAGCAAGGGTGCCCACAAGATGACAAGACCACCATGTTGTGCGACAGCATGTACAGAATCCCTTCATGCAGGCATCCGAAACAGCATGCCAGACAGTGGGAACACACGGAAGACCAATCAGTACTGATACAGTACGCCGACGTCCTAACAGCGGAAACCTCCACTGCCGTAGACTTACCGTGGACCTATCCTCACCCCTTCTCATCGGCGTGAACGTCAACAGTTTGCCCTACAACACCAAAACTGGCGATACAGGCAATGGAGAACTGTTCTGTTCACATATGAGAGTCAGTACTGCGTATCAACTGCAGATGGCAGAACAAGAATATGGCAACAATGTGGCCAGCGTTACTCAGACCAATGTGTTATGGAAAGAGACTCATGGTGAGGTGCAAGCATCATGGCAGGGCTCCAGATAATTTTTCAACGTCAGGAGTACGTACTCCTTTTTTTCAATATAAGAGCACTGGAAAATCTTAAGAGTACATTAAGAGTACTGAATGGAATTTAATGGCATATCAGTTACCTTGTGTTTCGTTTTATATATGCACCACAACATTGCTAGTCTTGTGTAAACAGGTCAATAAACAATAAAACAATACTTTTTCAGATAAATACGTCTGTAAATGATTCTAAGATTGTACATCATTGCCGAGGTAAGTATCTGCTACCTTTTCTAAATTATTTCCTACTGTATCCTGCATATTTTTTATCCGTACATACGCCGATACGGCCCTTATCTGGAGCCCTGTCATGGTATGGGGTGGAATAGACCTGAACAAGAGAGTGGGTCCTGTGGTGTTCCAGAACCTTGGTCTAGGGAGAGGAGGCGGCATCACAGCGGTGTGCTACATCGACCAAGCTCTCAGACCCCACGTCATACCACATTTTGCACGCCACCAGAACAACATTTTCCAGCATGATAACGCCCGGGCTCATACTGCCAGAGCTACACGGGACTTCCTACAGCAGAACAGTGTCAACATTATGCAGTGGCCAGCCCTTAGTCCTGATTTAAACCGAATTGAACATCTTTGGGATGAAATTCAGAGGAGACTGAATAATGTCATACCAAGGCCGAACATAGTCGATCTATTGCGCCAGGCCTTTCTCAGAGTGTAGTTCCAGGTGCCAACGGCCTTCATCAATTGATTGGTGCACTCCATGCATAGATACTGTGCTGCAGTTATTGCCGCTCGTGGTGGTCACACTACATACTGAAGAGTCTGAATGGACTGCAAACATTCACGTAATGTCTTGGAATTGTGCTGAGTTATTCATTGACGTGTCAGGATACTGTACACAAAAAATGTTTTTGATCCGCTTATTATGTCCATTTCTGTAATGATTTGAATACAGTGCCTATCTAATTTTGAATTCATACTGACTGTTTTTTAGCTGCTGAGTATATATTAAAGGGCATGAAAGGCAATTTAAATGACAAACGCTTGTTAAAGTGACTCCCCCTTCATGTTTACTGAAAGAGCTTGTTTTGGAGACACTACTCACCCCTTTCAGATGACGTAATCATAAGGACATAACTTATTCTAATGTTTTCGCTTATTCATACATAATGCCAAGGGTTCAAACTAAATACTTAATGGTCACACAAGTGTCAGCTCTCAATATATTGTAAACAGTGCCAGCTTGAATATCTGGACATAATGTTTTTGAAAGATTAACATGGGATGTCCTTAATAAAACAGTCCCCTTCTAAATATAAATCAAGCAATCCAAATCTTTGAATGTTGATTATGACGGGTAGTCATCCAATACTATACTGAACATATTTCATGATATCATATGGTACCAAATGGTTCTGCATTTTTAAAGAAATAATATACCCCAATGTGTTTTCATGACTAATATCTCGTTAATCACATTACCCACATATGTGAAATTTTGGATATGGCTTTGCTAATAATTCTTTCAAACTAAAATGGACTTCAAGAATATAGTAAGGCTGACTACTTTTGCAACGCCCCTTGTAAGATATCTGAATTACCGAGCATGTATAGTATGACCAGAAATTATTGAGAATTTTAGGAATATGTTTAATTGGATTTCTAGTATAAACAACCATGACCAGCTATCAAGTGCTTGGTTTCATTCAAGAGAGACAATCCGTTAATCCTTTTTCATTAGTTTGTGAAGAGTTATCCCCCTTTGTTTACTTGCTAGCAGACAACATTTTCAGTGATCCTCAGTATGGATGATTTAGAGAAGAGGAAGTTGATTTTAGAGTATTATAACAAGGACATCAGATCAGCTAAAGTGATTTCAAGTAGAACAGGCATCACTTTGTCCACTGTTTATCGTGTTTTGAAATATATTGCAAATGGATATGGCATTGAGCACCAGGGAGGCAGGTAGGCCCTGAAAATTGACTGTCGGTGACAGGAGGCGGCATGGGATTCTTGTTTCTAAAAACAAACGAAGGAGTTTAGAAAACTTAAGGCTGGATATGATTGATAGAAGAACTGGGTTTGCAGAAAAGTCGAGGAATTCCATCACCAATCATGAAACCTGAACAAAAGGAGCAAAGGTTGAACTGGTGCTTACAGCATAGAAATTTTAACTGGGACAATGTGATTTTCTCAGATGAAAGTTCTGGGTGGCTGTTTCCTAATACACTGAAATTCTGGACCAAACAAACTGAAAAACCTTTGTATCAGCGACCAGAGTACAGTCCGAAATTTAACGTGTGGGGTGGCATATCTGTGTTAGGGGCAACGCCCCTCTGACTATTTGAAGGGAATATGAACAGTGAGCGGTACACAGATATTCTCGAGGGACATTTACTTCCATCTGCTTACGTGTTCTATGGAAATTTTTTGATTTTCCAGCAGGACAACGACCCAAAACATCGTTCAAAGCATTCACAGGCCTGGTTTCGGACCCAAAATATGACATTATTAGATTGGCCAAGCTATAGCCCTGACCTAAATCCAATAGAAAATGTTTGGGGACTTATGAAGGAAAGTGTCAATAAGAAAAATCTGACAAATATTGCTGAAATGAAAGGAGCCGATATTGGGACAGCATGGACCACGACTTTCTAACTTCTTTGATCAGTAGTATGCCCCGACGCATTGAAGCCTGCATTGCTGCCCATGATGACTTGACAAAATACTAACTGTTCACCTGTCTTTGAATCTGGAGTTATGTTCTGCTAATATTCACATTTAATACATAAGTAATGAGTGAATTTTTTTTCAAAAATTACAATCTTAAGTTCTCAATAATTTCTGGTTGTACTGTACAACAGGCAATCACTAACCTCATGGAGTGAAGTTTCCCAGCTCTGACTACTGATCAAGTTGTTACTGCTGGATGTCAGACTTCCATCTCCAGAATAGTCGGACATACCAGACAGAATCTTCAGTCTATTGCGTGGGGCAATTCCCTGCTTGCCCCTAAGTGAACACAGGCACCATCCATCCAATCCCCCTGTGTTTAACTCTGTAACTGTGAGAACATCTCCACGCCTAAAGGCCAACTCATCAGGGCTTTCAGCAATGTTGTCATACAATGCCTTGGCCAGGAACATCTGAAAGAAAACTATACAAGCTGATTTATGGTAATGTGTGGGTCAAATACTTTAAAAGGCAACAATACATTTTTCACAGAGTAAAATATATTGTTGTTTACTTACATTTTGAATAAATAATAGTTTCTAAGGCCTAAAAAAAATGATGTGGTTCCAATTACCCGACCGACCATTGATTTCTGGTGATGACCCAATGTTTCTTTAAGCGGTATGAATAAACTAAGCTTTCAGATACCATTATTTTTTCCCGGGACTGACATGACATTGGCCATTCTGATAGGGAAAGTCGACATTATGGCCTCAAGCTTGACTGAATAAACAATTTACTTCTAAAAAAAAAATGTATAAAATAAAAAACAAATCCTACCTACCTACCAATTCGTAACTACTCGCTTCTTTGCATGACCTACAAAAAGACTCGTCCCCTATCGTACGCCATAATTGCCCAGAGGCCCAGATAAGCTACGTACCTGGGTAAAATATGCAATGAGAATTTCCAATTACGCATTGAAAAAATAATTGTTGCACACCAATTTTGCATTTCAAATGTTAGAAATGCAAAAATTTTAAAACAATTGTGTACGGAATATATTCATAAAAATCGCTTGCGTAATGAAAAAGACGTCGATTGCTATCAAGCTGTACTGTTAGTATAGGACAAGTGTTGTACTGTCAGTATAGGATGAGTGATTTTTTATGAAATCTTTTCCATTATATTTAAGTTGGTTTTGATTAGGTATGACATGAGGCAGAACATACCTGCTTAGTAAACTTACTCAATGACATAATACTTAGGTGAGTAAAATGACTGAAATACACACATATTTGAAAGCAGTGGGTAATGGAAAATGAAATACCCACTCAAAATTCATAATTACCACTCCAAAAAAATACAGTGGGTACAGTACCCACATGAGCTAAATCTTATCTGGAGCTCTGATTGCCAAGAATTGTGGCAAATCAATCAAATCGTGCATAGTAAAACGCATTTCGAAGCATGAAAATGGCGGCACCGTTGAACTTTGAAACTTCGCTAAAAAAACTATGCAAAGCACAATTTAAACTTAAACTTTGAGCTAAAGGATCAGAAACTTTAAACACTGAAACATATTTACAAAGGGAATGACTGTACTGCTGTTTTGCCCACTGAATGTAGGATATTCTGTGAGCCATGTTTGGAAATTCAGAGTTATCTTTCCTTTTTAATAGTACTAGACTATTTTCACCTACATGCACGTTTGCGCTTAGACAGGGCCCAGTCATAAGCATGGCCACGAGAGGGGTACGCGACGCCATCCGGCTTGCTGGAATGACACGAGTAGTTACGAATGCCTACTTAACTTTTAAAGATGTGTAATCGGAACCACATATTTTTTATTTGGCCTAATGTTGATGGTCAAATCAACTCAGGAGTAAGTATCTCAAACTGCATCTTCGCATACAAAAACCTGCAAGAAATTCATTATTATTTATGATTTTGTCCTTTGCTATGTGTTTTATTTCATGTGAAATGCTATCCTTTTCTACCAAATGTTGTTGATGACATTTTTCAACATGAAAACAATACTTTAGTGTTAGCATATATATTAATACAAGGAAAAGTATGTTGCGAAATGTGTAGTGAGTGAGTGAGTTTAGTTTTACGCAGCACTCAGCATTATTCCAGCTATATGGCGGCGGTCTGTAAATAATCGAGTCTGGACCAGACAATCCAGTGAACAACAGCATGAGCATTGATCTGCGCAATTGGGAACCGATGACATGTGTCAACCAAGCCAGTGAGCTAGACCATCCCGTTAGTCGCCTCTTACGACAAGCATGGGTTACTGAAGATCAATATTCTAACCCAGATCTTCATGGGGGTAGAAATGTGTAGTGAATTATGCCAGGTAGTCTCCTCATTAAAATATTTCAACCAAAATGTCACAGCAACCATGATGAGATTCCACCAGCAATGCCTTGGAAAAGACTTAAATGATGACACTTCTTAATCCCGTTTTGGAGATTTGACCACCCAGCATCTAAAGCCACAAAAACAAAATACAACCAGAAATATGTTTGTGATTAAACAAAACAGGAACAATGTATCAATTTGGATATGCATGACATTAATATATTCCATCTATAGTTATCACAAAACATTCCCAGATACAGAGCAACTTAGTTCTGAAATATGATCACATACAAAAGAACCCACAATAAATTGTTTACTGCTCTTGAACTGTGCTAGATCCTTTCACTGCCTTCTCAGCATTTAGCTAGAACATCAAACAGATGAGTGAGTGAGTATGGTTTTACGCTGCTTTTAGCAATATTCCAGCAATATCACGGCAGGGTACACCAGAAATGGGCTTCACATATTGTACACATCAAACAGATGAAGATCGGACTACTTGTGTATCGTCACACAACGTGCTGCACTGTTTATTTCACACATCTGTCTCTCTAACTACTTGGCTGCATGCAGATATTAAAAGTACCACGAGTACCGAGCCAGAATGGAGCTGGAGCTTTCCTTGGGTTTAACTATATTTTTTTCACCCAGGAGATTAAAAAACTTATCACACTTGACATAAAGATGCAAGTACAATTCCAATGAATTGGCCCAACACCTTGTGCAAATGCTGTGCTCATAAAATGCTAGCAAGTCTACACTGGTAAAGCTTGCTTTTTTGTGCACTGGCTAATGGTTTCTTACACAGCGAAGTTCCATGGCCAGGTTCCCAGGTTTCCTTCTTCAGTTGTGTGACACTGGGGATGTGACACTATTACCCCTTGCAGCCATTTGGCTCCTAAGTGAAAATATTGTGGAGACAGTTGGTCTTATTAGTAGCCAGATGCATCTAATCATAAATACATATTTTTGTCTTAAATAATCCTTTAGAAAAAATAACTAATAATTAACAAGTACCTGTTTCAAATTGTCAGCAAGTCAACCCAAATTCATTCAAAGTGTTTTCTTGACCACCAGTTTCCCCATTGTAAGTACACTTGTATAACTGCACTAACCATCAGTGTCAATACATATTTCCATACATTCAGGCAAGGGTGCAAGAAGTCACTGAAATAAGAATACAGTGTGCAGTGCATCGAGATTTTGAACTGACATGCAGAGTTGTTCCACTTGATATCATGGAGAAATACTTATCCCTCCTATTAAAAAAAGTAAATGAAAAGCCTACCATCCAATAGTATGATGACAGTAATTTTGGATCTTATAATAGCGACGTTGGATAGCTGTTATCTGAACCACAACATACATTTTTGAGGCCTGAGCATGTAGATAATAGGATCTACATGTACAATTAGTGTCACTGTCAAATACTTAGTTTCCAACACTGGACTGCAATACAATTTCTCTGCCAATTTCTCTGTCCATGTCCAAAGCACAGAGATTTTGATTCACACTTTGGAGTAAAGTTAAATCTCTAAGAGGGTCTGTGCCTGGCACTTTGTGAATGTTTGACAATAGTTTCCTGTGTAGAATTGCAAGTGGAATAATATTCTTTCCATTAAAAAATAAAGAATACAGAGCCATAGTGCAATTAAACATGTGTATTAACTCTCCATTATACAATTTCTATCGAATATGCAAATACATCAGTTCCAACTGAGATGGCTGTCAAGGTAACGCCAATGTGTCAGCAATCCAAGAGAATAAGAGTGGTTGTTCACTAATGTTCACAGCATCAGCAGTCAACACTGTAGGATCCTAAAGTAGTCAAAGATAATGCTCTAAGTAGGCAGAGTATCTAAATGAGTTTTGATACTGGTCATGGAGGTGTTGGACTTGGAGGTGATCTAGATTGACATAATGGCAGAGGTAACAACCATATTAATCTTCTGCATATCAAAGTATGTAAAAACCAAAGGAATCAGTGGAGTGAGTACAACACTCATAATTCAGCTCCGTTGGAAGGGACATTACCTGTGTACTATTCAGAAGGAATAACGAAAAATTACTTCATTGTCATGTAGATGAATGCACTGTAAACAGTGGCTGACATATCACATGTCGACTGTAACGTCACAGCTACTGCTCTGCTAAGGATGATATTTCAGCACATGAGCTGACTGTGGATTTAGGGCACTTTTTATGCAAGATATCACCGTTGAAGGATGTATTCCTCATACACAAGGCTGGATACAATTGATTACAGTTTCTCATGGGGCATTATAGCACTGAGCACAGAACTAAGCTTAAGGATTGGCAAAATCTTGACTATCTAAGGAGTAGAGGATGGAGATGTCATATACCTTTCACTGACGATCATTCTCACACCTCAAATAATAGTAATATGTCTTGAGATATGTCAAACTCCACATCGGTAATGTAACTGTATTCATCACATCTAGGCCTCCAAGAATATTTCCCTGTGCAGTCCCTGCAGTCAGTGGAAGTCAGGGACTACTACCCATGAAAAAAATGTAAACACATGCAAAACGGTTAACTCCTTTAAACACAAAGAATATCATACTACTACTACTAGAGGTATTGCCGAATTCTCATCCTGAAAACTATGTCCTGAAAAAAATGTCTGCATTTGGGGGGGGGGGGCAAGCTACTTCAACTGAATTGATCACCTCTCTTCCAGGTAAAACAGGAACTTATTTCCTCTATTTCCAGTGACTGAAGCAAGTGCATTGCTATAATTTTGGCAAATATCTAAATTTTAAGCAAACCTTAATTTCATAACATTTCTGAAATAACAGTTTAAATGTTGATGTAAACTGGACTCTGACCAGCACAATATTCATTAGACCCCCAATCCATACAAGTTTTGTACACATTACTAATATGTTTACAAAAATCTTATACTAATATCTGATTCGATAATCAGTGTGTATACACCTTACACATCAACAGCTCTTGTTCAAAGTTAAAGATTCCTAATTCACTCTTTGGGACAATATCGTACTCAGTACATAATAGTGAAACAAAAGGACATCCTCTCTCACATACACATTAAACAAAACTAGAAACACGAACAGAACATAGCCATCATGGTTATTGTTTTAGCACAATTTTAGTATGTGTAACTTAAAAATATTGAGTACAATATTAAACAATATGCATGATCTTAGAAGTAAGTGATGTGAAAAGAACACCAATTGTATAAAGTACACTGTAACTGGCTGCAGCAACTATCTAGCATTGGATAACCATTACTATGGTGCATGACAAACTAACAGTTCCAGTGCTAAGCACCTCTACAACTACTACTCAGCCATAAGTGCAGTAAAACATACAATTCACAACTTGCCACAGTTTGTTGAACAATAACAATCTCATTCGTCGTCCCGCAAATGTAGAAGGCCATGGAGCTGACAAATGTTGTCTGGACATGAGCAAAGATCATAAGGGCCCATGTCATTCACTTGGTAAAGTTGATGCCATTTTTACTGAAATTACTCAGCAGATTTATATGCTACGAACAACCAGCCGGAACAAAATCAACCAGTATACCAAGACAAATTTTGCTGCTGATGTAGCTGTGAATTCTACAACCAGCATCTAGCTGTCTCTGGCACACAGTCTGATGAGTGTAGCCCCGAATCTAGATTAAATTTCAACCCTCGGCGACCTCTCTGTGAGTGACGTCATGCAAGAACATACAAAAACAAAGCTCAAGGGAGGAAAATGATTAGTTCGGGAGAGAAAGAAAAATAACAAAGATAAAAATGCTCTCATGTAGCATATTAACTAAAACATGGTTATACCTGCTGTGTCATATCTTCATTTGATTCCAAAATAAATTCTAAGTCCCGAGCAACGAAAGATATCCTCTTATGGTTGTCCAAGCTCGCAATATTTATGACCAACTAAATATAGCTCGCTCGTTCGAAATATGTCTTCGTATGAGAAACTCCAGGAAAATATGGCCCATGTAGTATACTTCAGTGCAGTAGTAAACACCGGTTCATAGGAAACACGTATATCATCCTTCAATCACAGTACATATGCATATTATCATTAGGCACAAACTTTTCAACTTCTTGGCTAGACATGGTTGTGTCTGTATCGCCTATCCCAGAATGCATAGAGGCAGGTGCCCGGATGCTCACCTATGGTGACGTCAGTGCCTCTCCCACATTCTATGCAGCATATTTTCGACTACTGTAGTCACAACGCAAGCAAACATTTGACAAAAATATGTGTATTTTCAGCTACATTTTAGACTATCGCTTCGTTCTAATAGCTGATGTATTGTGTTTTTTTATATGGTTGTTGAAACTCGCCCGTAAAATGAAGCGGTTAGATGTAATATATGACTCAGCGTCGACGGGAGGAAAGGCGTCGGAGGTTATGAGGAGCAACGGCCAATGCGATCTAAGCACGAAGCATAGTAGGAATAGTTTTATTTAGGTCTCGAGGACCTCGTGCGCTAGTAGGACTGACGATATGTTGCTCTCACTAGAAGTGAAACCGCGGAACGCTCTTCTGTCTCAATGACAACTATAGAAAGTCAATTGTCCTCGAAAACTGATGCAGTAACACGCGTGGATTCCTACATAGTGTATTTCCAGTGTAGGAAATAAGGCCCGTCCGACCGCCCGAGACGGGCTACATATACAGCTAGCCAGCCCAATGGTCTGGTAATGTTTTTAGATAACATATGTTCCATACATCTGAGGAATTTTCTTTGTATTATCTGGTCTGGTTACATCCATGTTGGACTGGTAACATTTGGAAGTTACCAGCCCTGATGTCTGGCTGTGTTTTTGGCTTATTTCCTACACTGGTATTCCATAACTAACGTGCATGTAACGCCCATTACCAATACCTGGCAGTCAATAATGTTGCTCAGACCAACTTATACTGAGTCAAGCCGTCAGCATCTGAGCATACTTTGTTACGAGTGAAGATGAAGTAAAGAGGTGTAGACCTACCTCAGATAAACACAAAACAACTTCCAATTTCTTTTCATTTGTAATTTTCGATAAGAGACGTCATTTGTTTTACTTTTTTTTCGTCCAAGTTATACTGATGTGCCTCAGTACGAATTTAACTAACACAATACGAATGTGTCTATCCACCCTACCATAAATCGAAAACAGTATGTTAAATGTGCACTGACAATATTAATCAGTTTGAACGAAAATATAATCTTTCTAAAGAATATTTCAGCTGGGTGTACAACTTTATGTTTGCTCTATGTATTAATCGTCGTCGGGGATGGTGGCCGTTGACTCAAATATCAGATGATATAAATCATAGACCTTTTGGACAAAACGTTAAAGCCCACATGATGATGGGCTAGCTATATAAACGCCGCTTAAGGCTGGTCATTTGATCGGAGGGAACGCGCAGGAGTATAACGGTGGAACAGATCACAGAGGTACTGAGGAGCTAGACCATGGATACTTTTGAAAACAAGGAGTAGAGTTTTATATTTTATGCGGTAATGGACGGGAAGCCAATGAAGTGAGTGAAGAATGGGAGTAATATGGTCCGATTTCTTTGACTGAGAGATCACTCTGGCTGCAGTATTCTGCACCTTCTGAAAGCTTGTGTATAAGATAATTTGGGAGACCCACAAGAAGAGCATTACAGTAGTCGAGACGAGATGTTACATATGCCTGAATAAGAGATCATGCCGATGTTGCGAATGTGGTAGTACGCCCTTCTACAGATGTTATTCGTGTGTGGCTCCATGGACAGTGAGGAATCAAAAATAACTCCAAAGTTACGCACCTCAGGCATTGGCTGAATCTCACACTGACCGATGCTGAATTTAGGAAGAGAGATACTGGTTTGGAGATACTTAGGGTGGAAAACTATAAGTTCTGTTTTATCATCATTCAGTTTGAGGTAGTGTGACGACATCCAGTTTTTGATACAGCTGAAACACTCTTCAATGGTGAGAATTGAAGACACATCTGATGAAGAAAGTAAGGGTTTGAAAGATATGTAAATCTGAGTGTCGTCAGCATATAAATGTAGTCCAAGGTTGAAGGATCTGACAATATCACCTAGAGGAGATGTGTAAATGGTGAAAAGTAGAGGTCCAAGAACCGATCCCTGGGGCACGCCGTAAGCAAGATTCTTAGGACTGGAGATGTGACCATCAATGATCACCGACTGATGTCTACCTGCTATGTAGGACTCAAACCACTGAAGAACAGTGCCTCTAATACCCATCCTGGCCTCAAGTGTGGACATCAGAATAGCACGGTCAATAGTATCGAAAGCACTACTCTGATCGAGTAGAACCAATACTTCAGCACCATCTTTGTCAACAGCTCTCAGGATGTCACTGTGCACTTTAACGAGTGCGGTTTCCGCGGAGTGGAAATTCCTGTATGCTGATTGCATGACTTCGAAACACCTATTTAAGGTCACGTGTTCCTAGAGTCTTGTTGTGACCACACGTTCAATCAACTTTGAGGTGAATGGTAAATTTGTGACAGGCCGATAATTATTTTAAGAGTTCTTGATCTAAACTTTTCTTCGTCAGGAGTGGAGTTACAAATCCATTTTTCAATGTATCCGGCATCATACCTTCTTGAAGAGATTTATTGACAACAGAGGTCAATATAGGGGCAAAGGTATCCAGAGAGTTTTTAAGAAGCCATGTAGGTATAGGGTAAAGAATGCATGACTTTGAGGGTGGCTTAGAAACAAGTTTCACAATCTCTGCTTCTGTTGCTGGTCGGAAATGGGATAGGCATGGAAATGCAGCTGCCGGTTGGGGTTTCACTGTGTGGAAGGTCATCATGTGATAGTGATTCTCTGATTGTGGAAATCTTCTGAGAAAAGAAGTCTGAGAACTTGCAAACTAATTAATAAAGGGATCAAACCCATACACCACCTTGAAGAATGCCGGGCCGTCATATAAACCCATACACCACCTTAAAGAATTTTTCCAGGCCGTCATATAAACCCATACATCACCTTAAAGAATGCCAGGCTGTCATATAAACCCATACACCACCTTAAAGAATGTCAGGCCGTCATATAAACCCATACACCACCTTGAAGAATGTCAGGCCGTCATATAAACCCATACACAACCTTGAAGAATGCCAGGCCGTCATATAAACCCATACACAACCTTGAAGAATACCAGGCCGTCATATAAACCCTAGTCTGTCTCACAGTCCCTGAACCACATTAATTTCCCTACTGCCAAGCCCTCTCTGCAGTGCTAAAGCCCTAAATAAAGCAAGTCTAGATTTCCTCAGGTTCAGGTCTGAATCTCTGGTCCCCCTAGGGCTCCTTTTCAATATAAATGGGCTTGTTTGTTACTATCAAAATTATATATATTCAGAGACTAAGCCTTAGTCTATATAAACCCATACACAAACCTGAAGAATGTCAGGCCGTCATATAAACCCATACACCACCTTCAAAAATGCCAGTCCGTCATATAAACCAATACACAACCTTGAAGAATGCCAGGCCGTCATTTAAGCTGATACACCACCTTCAAGAATTTTCAGGCCGTCATATAAAGCCATACACAACTTTGAAGAATGCCAGGCCGTCATATAAACCCATACACAACCTTGTAGAATGCCAGACCGTCATATAAACCAATACACCACCTTAAAGAATGCCAGGCCGTCATATAGACCCATACACCACCTTAAAGAATGTCAGGCCGTCATATAAACCCATACACCACCTTAAAGAATGCCAGGCCGTCATATAAACCCATACACCACCTTAAAGAATGTCAGGCCTTCATATAGACCCATACACCACCTTAAAGAATGTCAGGCCGTCATATAAACCCATACACAACCTTGAAGAATACCAGGCCGTCATTTAAGCTGATACACCACCTTCAAGAATTTTCAGGCAGTCATATAAAGCCATACACAACTTTGAAGAATGTCAGGCCGTCATATAAACCCATATACAACCTTGGAGAATGCCAGACCGTCATATAAACCCATACACCACCTTAAAGAATGCCAGGCCGTCATATAGACCCACTCACCACCTTAAAGAATGTCAGGCCGTCATATAAACCCATACACAACATTGAAGAATGTCAGGCCGTCATATAAACCCATACACCACCTTAAAGAATGTCAGGCCGTCATATAAACCCATACACAACCTTGAGTAATGCCAGGCCGTCATTTAAGCTGATACACCACCTTCAAGAATTTTCAGGCAGTCATATAAACCCATACACAACTTTGAAGAATGTCAGGCCGTCATATAAACCCATACACAACCTTGAAGAATGTCAGGCCGTCATATAAACCCATACACAACCTTGAAGAATGCCAGGCCGTCATATAAACCCATACACAACCTTAAAGAATGTCAGGCCGTCATATAAACCCATACACCACCTTGAAGAATGTCAGGCGGTCATATAAACCCAAACATAACCTTGAATAATGCCAGGCCGTCATATCTGAATATCTGGTCTCCCTAGGGCTCCTTTTAAATATAAATGGGCTTGTTTGTTACTATCAAAATTATATATATTCAGAGACTAAGCCTTAGTCTATATAAACCCATACACAAACCTGACGAATGAATGTCAGGCCGTCATATAAACCAATACACAACCTTCAAAAATGCCAGGCCGTCATATAAACCAATACACAACCTTGAAGAAGGCCAGGCCGTCATTTAAGCTGATACACCACCTTCAAGAATTATCAGGCCGTCATATAAAGCCATACACAACTTTGAAGAATGCCAGGCCGTCATATAAACCCATACACAACCTTGAAGAATGCCAGGCCGTCATATAAACCCATACACCACCTTAAAGAATGCCAGGCCGTCATATAAACCCATACACCACCTTAAAGAATGTCAGGCCGTCATATAAACCCATACACCACCTTAAAGAATGCCAGGCCGTCATATAAACCCATACACCACCTTAAAGAATGTCAGTCCTTCATATAGACCCATACACCACCTTAAAGAATGTCAGGCCGTCATATAAACCCATACACAACCTTGAAGAATACCAGGCCGTCATTTAAGCTGATACACCACCTTCAAGAATGTCAGGCCGTCATATAAACCCATACACAACCTTGAAGAATGCCAGGCCGTCCTATAAACCCAT